AGCCATGTGAACAGAGAACAGGAGCTTGTGAAATCACGGCCCTAAGGCCACGCCTAAGAGAAAATCTCATCTGAGTCATGAACTTCTATGTCAGACACTTCTCCATGACTTTCCATGCTCAGTGCTGTAAAGATCTCTTTCCTCCCTCCCCGCAAAAGACTGGTCTCTCTCCTTGAGACTGATTACTGGGGTCTGCGCCCATCTGGGTCAGGGGCTTTCCAAACCAAGGCCTGTCTGCAGCTGTGACAATAAATACCTGTGGACCCCACTGTACCAAACTTGGGCACTGCCTTCTCTGCCCCCACCTTGACAGTCTCTCTAAAGGATCTGCTTTTCAGGGACAGTGAGAGGGGGTGGGTCTGCAGTTGGGCAAAGAGTAGCAGGCAGCCTCTCCCAGAGCACAAGGCCTCTACTACAAACCTGGCTCTAATCAAAATCCGGGTTTACTTAAGAACCTGTTTCCTGACATAGGCCCTGCCCAGCCAAGACAAACCCAAGGCGTGTTGATGCCCTGCTTCCTGGGGGCTGTAACCTTTTACAGCAGGTGATTCTAAGACTGAGGATGCGAGATACCTGCTTGATGTCTGTTGTGTCTGTGGGGCAGTGGTGACTGGGCAGCTACCTCCTCACCCTCTCCAGCAGTGGCTGTGCCTTGATTCTCAGACATCAATGTTTTACCCCAGAGCGTTCACTTATCCAAACTGTAATGGCAGAAATTCATCAGTAGTGAAGTGGGATGACTGGGACTATGGGTGGGGGGCGGGGGTGGACATTATATTCTGTTTTACATTTGAAATTAACCATAACAAAAAAATTTTAGAGACATCTGCTTTCTCTTAGAAATCTCCTTTCCTGGTCAAGAATCTTAAAGAAACTCTTTAACCTAGTAATTCCATTTCTGGGAATCTATCCAAAGGAAATAATCAGACACACAGAAAGATTCACTATAGTGCTATTAAGAATAAGGAAAAATTGGACACAGCTACAGTCCAACAATAGGAAGGTGGTTAAAGAAACCCCAACACGGCCATTAAAGACGCATGAAAGTGCTTGTGACCTAAATTGTCACAGGAGAGTCAATACAGACTGACATCCCATATGATCTGCATTTGTTTCTAAAAAATGCATATGCATGTGTCAAGGAAATCTGGAAAGCAATACAGTAAATGTTAAATGTAGTTATCTCTGCTGCCTGGGTTTTGGCAGATTTCTATTTTCTTTTTTATCCCTAGCCTGTAGTTTATCTTCTTCAGTGAACATTTATGACTTGGATAATTATTTTCAAAATGAAGATGTGACATTTTAAAGGCAGAGAGAAAGGTTGAACGGAAGAACAGATTTTCATGCAGCTATCAGCCATACATTTCTAAGTTGTTGGAACTGGAAGGGGTCTTAGGAATTAGACCGGCCTAAGTTCAACTTCATCAGTTTACAAATGCAGAGTGTGGGCTTAGGGAGTGGGAGACCAATGAGGCCATTTGTCATCAGTCCTGGAACCTATTTCTTGTACCACCCCACTGAGCCCTCACTTTCTTTAGGGCCTTTGCAGCCCAGGACATACCTGTGATAACCCTTGGAAGCCATGTTTGGGGTGCAGCCCTTTGGTACCCCAGCCACTGTGGCCACCAGGCCACTGTGGCCAGCATCCACAACCAGCTGGCTGAAGAAGCATCCTGGCAGGAAGAAGGCATGGTAGCCCTCACCTCCACCAAGCGCCCAGTGCTTCTCCCTGACAGTCCTCGCTGGCTATCTCTGTCTCCTCAGCTCTGCTGCTGCAGTGGTTATTACTTCTAGAAGCTAGGCCACATGTTTATGGAGTCTGGTTTTTAAAGTCTCATCAGCTGGGGTTAGAAGTCCCATGCAACAAAATAACCGCGTGCGCTAAAGCCACCCAAACTATCTTCAGAAGTAAAAGTTTGTGTGCTTCAGTGGTAAGTGTCACGTTGAAGTCAGAGGTGCATTATTGTCTTTGCCAGAGCCCTTAGGCACTGTCTTAGTCTGTCCAGGCTGCTGTGAAGAACGCCAGAGACTGTGTGGCTAAACTGGGCACTTTTATTTCTTGTGGTTCTAGAGGCTCAGATATCTAAGCCCAAGGTGCAGGTAATTCTGTGGAGGATGAGCTCATCCTATCTGGACTACAGACAGCTGCCTTCTCACTGTGTCCCCGTATGGCTGAGAAGTGAGGGGAAGAGGGCTTAGCTCTGATTTCCACACTGCATGTGGGGGCAGGAGGAGCAAAGAGCAGTGTGCTGAACCTATATCCTGAATGTACCTGTGTGTCTCCTCTGTGACCCCACAAATGGCGCAGATAACTGGCAGAGAGAGGTGCTGCTGGAGAACTGATTCACAAAGCATGACTATAACTGAGGCGGTCTCTGATGGAACTGTCTTTACTAAGCTAGCTTCCTTGGAGGGCATAAGATTCCCAAATGACATGCAGTGAATTAGTACATATTGCAAAGGAAAATTTCCAAGGCTTAGAACCATCATTTTTCCCAGCAAAACTCTCATCTGAGTGGGCCCAGGGACATCAAGTGAAAGACAACAAAAGGAAATGGACTTGGCCCTGTTTGAGGGTGGAGGGGGGCCCTTCCTGGTAGCATGACAGGTTAAAGTGCAGCACTATGAAGCTGGCCACAGCCACTGCAGCACGAGTTCAATCCCTGGCCAGGGAGCTGACCCACATGGCTCAGCAGACCTCTCCTGTCTCCCCGCTGCTCCCCTTAGCAATGTGTTCGTACATCTGCCTGTTCTGCTCCCCACTGTCTCTGGTGAGTCCTCTCACCCCCCTCACCTCTGGCCTGTACCCCAGTTCTTGTATACACAAATAAATATTTTTTTTTTAAAAAAGCTGGCCAGTGACCTGCCAGCTGTGTGACAAAAGCACAGGCCATTTCACTCCTAGAGAGTCAGTTTTCTCATCAGCAGAGTGAAGCAAACACCCTGTTCTGCCTGTATTACAGGAGTTTGAAGATCAGATGAGATGGTGTTTGGAAACTGCAAAAGCTCCATGCAAATGACTGGCATAATTATGTTGCTCACAGGGAGAACACTGAGTCTTTTCTGCCTGGTTCACTCCATTCACTCCATTTGCATACTGTGAATTTTACCCCTTATTCTTGCAACAGAATCCTTCAGAGAGTGTCATTTTTAGAATGCAGTTGAAATAACTGTAGTTGCCCTATTTATCCTGGTAGCTCTCTGGGAAAAGGAAAAGTCTGGAATGATGAGGAAAAGTAGACCCACAAAGATGGTAACCTGAAGGCACCAAGAATCCTGTCCTGGTGGCTTTTCTTCCAAGGTGACACTAACATCTAAATCCGAAGGCAAAGCTCATGGCTGAAAGTCAGACTCACAGTCCTCTAAAATTCCCCAAGGTGAAGTTTACGTGCAGTTGTTCTGAGGCACAGTACCTGTGTGTCTCAGTGTCAGGTATCAGTGTCAGGTGTGCAATATATTGGGTTGTTGGAAAAGTCATGACACATATTTTTCTATGTTTTTCAATGAAAACATAAGTCATGGCTTTTCCAACAACCCAGTAAATCTGGCAAAGATTTATAACAGGAAACAACTCTCAAGTCGGCCTTCCAGCTTCCTAGATTTCTGAAACTACAGGTCAAGAAAGAAACAACTAACTTACCAAACAAGTATGAGATGCCCTTGCTTCATGTTTGTTTTTTTTTTTTAATGTGCCACAAAGCAAAAGTTCTACCTGTTCATATATAGCACCATTCTTTTTGTGTTGATTGACACAAAGATCCAGGCCTTCCCCAGAAATCCTCCACCTTCTTATTTCCAATCAAACACAAACTCATACTCAGCCAAATTTAGCTGCCAAACCTGAAAATGAAATAATATGGCCAGCGTCTATTCGAACTCTGGGTTCATACAGAGATCTGAGAATGGGTGTTCAAGGATGTGTTTGAAGAGATAATTTCCATTCCTTTGTGTCAATTGTAAGTCATCTTGATTTCACAGACACTGAAATGTCTGGAATAGATGAAATGCAGCATACTCGCTCTCCTAAAAGGTAAAGCTCCTTTTGGTTCCAATGTAGTCTTAGACTAGCAGCCTTCAAAAACATCTCGTTTTGAGTCCCAGCCCCTTGCATTTTCACATGTTGTGCAATCATGCCTTTGTGGGGATGGAAGGTAGACATGAGCAAAGTACTTCTGGGCTTGAATATAGTTTTAGGTAAATGTGGATTAGGAAATACTTGTCAGAGCCAAAATCACATTAACTCTGGGGTCTGGAGGTTTTTAGTTGTTGTTGTTGTTGTTATTTTTGTTTTCCCCAAATTTGAAAGAGCAACAAATATTTAAGATCATTTGGCTTGGCTTATCATGTTTTCTTTCTCTCAATTAGTGCTTTTGATTGTTTTTGTTGCTGCCACTGTTGTTTTATTTGGCCGTTTGGTCGTGTGATTGCTTATTCTTAGCTCAGGTAAAGCAGCTGAAGTGTGAGTCCCCGCTGCACAGAGAAATCAGGCATGAATAGGTCCCCGTGATGGAGCACACCCCCTGCCGGGACTAAAAATGACATTTCATAACATGCAAGGTGGGAATTCTTGTCTTTCTGGGCAGAAGGCACATGAGGAACTCAGGGAAATAGAAATTCAGCTTCAGTGGCAACCCATTCTAAATGTAGTGTGGACCAACCTTGCATTTAGATCATCCTTGCTCATAAAGTCTACACTTTGGGATAAGAAACCATCCCACCTGTGTCCAGCCTGTTCTCTAGTTAGCGCTGTACATTCCTTTGATCTATTAGGACATTATTTATATACCACAGCAAAGACAGTCACACACACCCCATCATCTCATCATCAGATGCCCCTCTGTATAGGTGCCTCCCAGGAAGGGCTCCTGTGAGCATGAGTGTTAGTAACCATGGGTGAGCATGAGTGTTAGTAACCATGGTGCTGGGCAGAAAGTGGGTGGGAAGCTGGGAATGCCTGATTGCTGCTAATTCCATCGTACCCATTCTCTTCTCCCCCGCAGTCCGAGTACCACTACGAGTACACCGCCTGTGACAGCACGGGTTCCAGGTGGAGGGTCGCCGTGCCGCACACTCCTGGCCTGTGCACCAGCCTCCCAGACCCCGTCAAGGGCACCGAGTGCTGTAAGCAGCCACCCCGCTCCAGGGCCGCCCTGCACAGTGTGGCCTCCGCCCCGAGCCTCCCACCATTCGAGCTAGGCCCCTCTGGCCAGTGCAGCTGCCTTAGGAAATCAGACCTTGCCCTCGCTTACCCTTTTGGGATTTGGTGCAGAACTGTTATTTAAAGGGTACAAAGTAGGTATCTGAAGCGATTTTTTAAAATTTCAGTTCCATCAGGATATAAAATGTCAGTGGTCCCACCTGTGTGTTACTCGGGTATTTTTTGTTTGTTTGTTTGCATACATTTTCATTTGGACCTGTGCGTTTCTCTCCAATCCACACTCAGCAGCCACAATCAGTCATTAGAAAAGATTGTGATTTGCTTTAGTTCTTGAAAAGGAAGCCAGAGAAGAGGAGTTTCTGCAGGGACGGACCTTTATAATGCACGGGGTGGAGCCGACTATGCAGTTGGAAAGGCTGCAGCTCCCATCCTAGCTCTGGAGTTGCAACTTCTCCATCGTTGACAGATATTTGAAATGCAAAGGGCAACAGTAAAAAGCAGGGGCTAGAGTCACGGAACACTTGAAGATGTGGAAAGTAGACTGAAGGTATTAAAATTCTAAAATTTTAGTCTGTCCAGGAAGTGAGCAAATAAATATTTGTAAAATTGATGAACGGAAATGGCCACGGTGTGAGTTGTGTCTTGTGGGAACAAACGAGTGACCTCAGTTAACGTGGCCTGCACGTGCCTGAGCTCCTGCTATAAGCTGCGGGAGACACAGTGTAGCCAAGGCACACAGGCTCTGCTTTCAGAAGCTGGCTGGCCGGTGGGCAGAGTAGATATTCACCCATCAAACCTTTAGGACACTCCTGCTAAGTCTGGGCCAGCCACTGAGCCCCTGTGAAGGACACACTGTGAGGTGTTAATACGAGTAGAAGAGGACTGGACTGAGATGTTAGAATGCTGAGCGGTCAGGAGCCACCTGAGCAAAAGCTGGGAGGCAGAAGAACACCAGACACACTGAGGGAAGAATATGTGGTCTGGGATGGAGGTGACACCGGGATGCCAGGTTGGGTTGGGGTGAAGGCCGATAGCAGGAGATCAAATGGGAAGGTTAGGTTGGGAGAAGATTGTGGAGACTTTGAATACGGGGTCGAGAGCCTGATTCTATAACCAAAGGAGAGTGCTGGCTTATTTTTTAAATAATGGGGAGAATAGAACATATCGTTGTTTTAGAAAGATACTTCTGGTCACTGAATGAGCAAAAGCAAGTAGCAGGGAACTGATGAGAACATGCAGTGACTGAGTTAGCAGCTCAGGAGAATCCCAACTCACATGGTGCTAAGTGGCAGAGAGGAGACACAGGCCAGAGGCTCACGGGGGAAATTCGGAGCTGAAGGGCATGCACCATTCAGAGGTTTGGCATGCGAGGCTTTGGCGGGCTCTTCCCCGGAGGGCTCTGGGCCGGCCAAGGCAACTCTCCTTAGGAAGCCGGACTGTCTGGGGCAGGCCCAGGTCCTGCCGCAGGGCAAAACCTTGAGTCCTTTTTTTTTTTTAAACAACTTTATTGGGATATGGTTGGTTTGCATATCATAAAATTATCCCTTTTAAGGTACAAAATTCAGTGGTTTTAGAATAGCTTCCTAAGCATCACCGCTCTCTAATCACAGAACATGTTCACCATCCCCACCCTGCCCATCAGCAATGCCACCTCTTGCCCCGTCCCAAGTCCTTGGCACCACAAGTCAGCTCTCTGACTCTGTGGGTTTGCTTATTTTCTGGCTGTTTCTCTGGATAGTCCCATGTAAGTGGAATCCCACAGGACACATCAGGGCTCTAAAGCTCAGTCCCGAGTTCCTCCCTTAAGGATGCCACAGCCGTCCACTTCTCTGGGGTGGCAGCGGTCTCGCCACTGGCCCTTGCCTCTGCTCTGTGTTCCAGCCTTCTCTTGCAAAGCCGGGGAGTTTCTGGACATGAAGGACCAGTCGTGCAAGCCATGTGCAGAGGGCCGCTACTCTCTCGGCACAGGCATCCGGTTTGATGAGTGGGACGAGCTGCCCCATGGCTTCGCCAGCCTCTCCACCAACATGGAGCTGGAGGACAGCACCACCGAGTCTGCTGAGAACTGTACTTCGTGAGTGCTCCCCATCCCCTCGCACTCTCCACCCCTGTGCTGGGGCAGGGACCCAGCCAGCCCTTGACAGCCTCCTCTCCTGCTCCTCAGACTGGGCAGAGAGGATGGAGGAGAGTGGCCACAAGCGCTGAACAGGTCCCCAAAAGGCCGATGAATGGGATGCCCTTCTCAACCCACTGGGCTGAGACTACCAGTGACCAGAGAGCTCAGCTGGCCAGTGACCAATGAGGGGAAAACATGAGGGAATAGACGCTGTAGTCCGGATCTATTGGGGGCAGTCCATTTCAAACAGACCCAACTGCCTTTCCACCATGGAATTCTGAATCAGCCAAAACTTCAACTTGATGGCAACACACTGTGCGAAGCTTTGGGTACTTCCCGGCTTGGTGTTAACTGCTAAAACTGGCCTGCCTAGCCTGAGTTTATAATAGCGTAAACCGAGAAGGACCAGAGCTTTGGTCCACAGTGGCTGAGGTCTTCCAACCCCCTTGAGAGCCAGATGACAAGAGAGTCCCCTGGCTCAGAAGGAGACCTTTCAGTAAATTGAAAAGCTCAGCCCAGGTGAGCGATCCTTATCTTGCCCTGGGCTGTCCCATTCCATGCGTACATGTATTATTTGCAATCACTTTCAAGAAATAGGCAATGTTGTACCTGTTTCACAGATGAGGAAATGGAGGCTCAGGGAGCTTAAATCAGTTGTCTTTTATAGGTCAATTTTGTTGCTTACAACTGGAGAGGGGGAATTCAAATCCAATTCTATGCTTTCTGCTGACCCCACAGACACCTCCATGTGACTTTTTAAAAAAAGATTTATTTATTTTGCATACAAGAACTGGGATACAGGTCAGAGGTATGGGGAGGGGGTAAGAGGATTCACCAGAGACAGAGCAGAACAGGCAAATATATTAAAATACACTGCTGAGGGGAGCAGTAGGCAGGACAGGAGAGGTCTGCTGTGCCATGTGGGTCAGCTCCCTGACCGGGCATGGAACTTACGCTATAGTAGTGGTGGATAGTTTCATAGTGCTGCACTTTAACCCCTTGTGCCACTAGGGAGGGCCCTATGTGACAACTTAGTGTGTGCAGAGTCACAGTGGGGCCTAAGGGAGAAAAAGTGGACAGGTGCACTGATGTAAAGGGCTCTCAGCCATGCTCTTTGTTAAATACTAATGGTGAATAAGGAGGGAAGCCAATGAAGATTCTCTTATACTCAAGGAATTCAAAGGCTAAAAGGGACTTAATAGTTGTTCTACACTTGGATTTCTAAAGCCAGGAGCACAATCTCCATTCCTGTGCTCAAATCTCCCAGAAGTCTCATTGTTGAAGCCAGCCCTTTGGTAGTCCAATCTTAATGTCATGTTAGAGTACCAGCCGATGTCTCAAATCATTAGCATGACAACATTGGCAGCAGTGGTAAAGCCAGAGAGGATTACAGCTGGAAGGAGAGGGAAGTGTGGGTTCAGACCCCCGTTTGAGTCCTAATAGACAACGTGATTGACTCCAGGAAAGGTTCTGGTCTGGCTCACTTAACTCCTACACGTGCAAAGGAAGGTTCTTTTTTCTTCTGACCTCGATGAGCTCAGAAATCATGATTTTGCAGCCAGGCAGGTTGTAGGCCAGTTAATGACAACATGTGTTTCCAGTGCCTTGATCCTAAGGTATCGTAAGACATCTTTTTGGGGGTTGCTGGGAGGAGAAAAGATGTTTCTCCTGTGTCCCATGATATCCCTAAGGGACAGGGGCAGGGAGAGGAGAAGGCTGCCTAGAGTGGTTTCATGGTTTCCCTATGCCCCCCAGAAATGTAATAACTGAGCTGGCAACAATGTGCCAGGCATCTGACTTTCTGCCTCTGTATATTTAGCTGTATTTACTTGAACACTCTGCCTCCATCCTGACCCAAGCCAGTGTCACTTTCGCTCCACCCCTCCACTGTCTGCTCAGCAGCGAGATTGATCTTGATAAAACACAAATCCAATCACCGTACTTTCCTACTTAAGACTTTGGCGTCTCTGGTTTCTCTCTCTGGAATAAAGTCCAGGACTTTGCCATAGCCCACAGGGCTATGTGACCTCTGCACTCTGCCCATGTGACCTCTGCCCTCTGCCCATTTCTCCAGCCTCTCAAGCACCTCCCCTGTGGTTTCCTGTGCTCCAGCCACCCCTGGAGATGGTATTCCGGACCTGCAGACTCTACCACACACTCCTGAGATCCTTGTAGTGCTAATCACAGTTATTACCACATGATTAACTGTGTGATCTGTTAAGTCTGTCTCCAGAACTGGAAGCAGACTGCAAGCCCCAAGAGGGAGGGAATCAGGTCCGTCGTGTTCTTTGCTGCATCTACAATATTTAACGTCCAGCACAAAACTGGCCTGAAATAAATAACTGGGAACAAAACAGACCAACTGACGAAGTTGTTGTAACAGGATCCTGAGTCTTCAGGGGCACATGCTTTGTTCCTGAGTAGCTGTCCCGCACTGAGGCACTGAAACAGCCCTAAGATCAGAGACATGATGAACAGGAGGGGTCGGGTGTGAAGGGGAATGATAGAAAGGACATTGTGTATTAGTGGAGGAGAGAGAGCAGATGCCCAGATACTGTGAAAGCGAAATGAGAATGGGAACTCTATGTAAACATGAAAAGGGGCCTCACACCCTGGAAACGTGCAAATTTCCCAGAACAATTTCTTCTTCCTCACGCGAACTTATGCAACTTATTACTGCCCCGCAGTGGGACCTAAGCAGGATGTGTGGGTATCTGCATAGATTTCTCTGGAAACGTGTCTCCCTTCTTAGGGCCATGGTAAAACCTAGTGGGTATGAACAAATCGCTACTAGGTGACTTGGGACAAGTTTCCTAAACTGTCCTTTGGTTTTTTCATCCTAAAAAAAATAGGGTGATGAATATAATACTTTTCTTATACAGATTACAGGAGGAGGTAAGGATTACAGGAGGAGGTACAGCTAAAGAACTGAGAGGGATGCCCAGCACTAGAAATCAGTTGTGTTGTTATTGGTGACTGTGAAACGATCCTCACCAGGGACTACTCTGACAAAAATCAGAATTGTAATGCATTTTGCAAATGTAACCCACTTATGGCATCCTTTTAATTATTCATCCAACTTCAGGAGTTATTTATAGCTGACACCATGGAGCACATCAGCATTAAGTGTTGTCTCTATTAACAAGGAGAAATCAATACCATTAGGTTAGCTGGGATATCTTGGAAGAGCTGAGCTTAAGTATTTTGGATGTGCTTCCATTTGAGAATAACACGAACTACTGAAGAGCTGAAAGGGCAGCATCGTTCTGATCAACACAGCAGGAAACCAGTGGGCTAATCAGATGTCCCCTGAACGTGCCAATATTAACAATTAGAGAACTGGCTGGGTCTCAGGCAAAAGTGTGAAGTAATAGGAATATTCTGCTCACTCATTTCCTGCATTCATCTCTTTAATCCCAAGCCCCTCCTATGTGCCAGGTCTAGTGTTTGGTGCTGGGATATAAAAGGTGTAGCAAGATAAGTTTGACCTCTGCCCTCACAGCATGTACAAGATAGCCAGGAAAACAATTAAAGAATAAAAGTTTGATCTGACAAGACAACCAAATAAACTAAGAAAAGATGCTCAACCTCATTAATAACGAAGGGAATAAGATTTAAAGCCCAATGCACCACACTCTCCTACCACATTGGGCGACAGTAATTTTAAGTCTGACCACTCCAAGCTTGTGGAAGATATGGCTCAGGGCAAACTCCTGTATGCTGCAGGTCCGTGTAAACTGATACGGCCACTTTGGAGAACAAAGAAGCAGCTAGCAAGTTGGGAGAGGCTCACATGCCCTCTCACCCAGCACGCCCAAGCATTCCACTTAGACAAAAACATCAGGAAGCAGGAACAAAAATGTTTCTTATAGAGCATATTCAATAGCAAAAAGCTGGAATCCAAATGCCCACTCACAAGTAAGTAATGCATAAGTAAGTAAGGCAGAATCATTCAGAGGAATATTATACAGTAGTAAAAATGAAAGGGGAGGAGCTAGCTGTGTGAATACGCATGAATTCTTATATTGAAATAAAAAATGGCAAGTTTCAGAACGCACCAGTATGGTGCATTTACATAAAGTTTTAAGGCATGCAAAGCACTATCAGCTTATTAGTAGTAGAGACACACTGTAGGTCCTCACATATCATTTGATTCAATGTATTTAGTCACAATGTTAAGTGAAACAGAGTTATTCAGCATGCATTGTATGTCATTCCACTAAAATCAGTTCAGTTTCCACAATCTTTTGACAACATTAAGGAGGGACTTACTGTTCTAAATAAGAGATCGTAAACCACATGTGAGGATGTTGGGCCCCAAATTCAGGAGAGTGACTACTTGGCAGTGGGAGAGGAGTGTGTGATAGGAGGGGGCTGAGATTCCCTCGGGTGCACCAAGGCCTCTGGGGTAAAACCAGGGGTCATTAGCACAGGGATTTTTTCTGCTGTCATTTGTTTTTATTGCAGTAACCTGACTGGCAGCACCATATATGACTTAGCAGCCTAGGGCAGGTCTGCAGGAGGATGTCCCACACCTGCTACCTTGAAGCACCCATAGTCCTCCATTAGAGCCCATTCTTCCCCTCCTCCAAGTGATTTCATCATGCAAATGCAACATTAGCATTTGATTTTGTAAGCTCAGGGGCTTGTCTTGATAATGAACCAAACAAGATTAAGTCAAGCTGGGGGGGGGTGGGGGAGGGAATGATGTGGAAATGATGTGGTCAAGAGACACAAGATGCAGGGGCTGTAATGGGGTGACAGGCTGCCCCATCACTCAGCAACTCAGAATTCGGGGACTACGTCACTTACCCACTTACCCGCAGGGTAGCAGGTCTCAAGTATTTCATAATATATTTAAAGGAACCGAAGTGAGACTGTGGCCAGGAGGACGACACAGGGAGCCCCGAGGGCACTCAGCAGAGGCAGGCAAAGGAGTCCAGGGGACCTCTAGGCTGCTGGACAACACATCCTCAGACATGAATAGAAACTGAGCCAAGGGCTAGGAGAACAGAATGTGGGCAGAACCAGGGGTGAGTGAAAGTCTGGCAGAGAAGTGAAAGAAATTCCAGGGAACATAGACATTGGGTGAGGAATCTATTGCCCACCCTGAGGGCAATAGGGAGTTATGGGTTTCCAGGGATGGGGGTTCTCCAATCACAGTGGGGGAGAATGGAGGAGGTAGGATGGTGAGATGCTTTAGGGACGCAGCTCAGAGCTGAGGGGTTGGTGAGGAGTACATCGGGCCCTTGGGCAGGGGTACACAGAGTTGATACTTGGATGTAAATGGACAAGATTATACTGATTGTCTGGAATTCTCTGTTCCCCCTTCCTATAAAAACCAGCTAGCTATGCACAGCATCCAAAAGTGGACACTGTCAGAAAAACAGGTACTAGGCTGGCTAGACTGCTGCGTTCTGTAAAATAGCTTTATTCACTGACTTCCCATGACAACTGTGGAGTCAGGCCGGCCTGGATGTGAGTCTCAGCCTTGCCACTTGCTGGCTCTGTGCGCTTGAGCAAGGAACCTGCCAACCTCAATGTCATTCCCCATTCAATGGGAGAAAAATAGCCTGTCATTTACGAAAGGTAAGAATACCTGGGAAATAGTCAGCAATTAATAAATGTCATCTAGTACCCTCCCTGGTGGTACAATGGGTTAAAGCGCAGCACTGTGAAGCTAGCTGCAGCCACTGCAGCACGAGTTGGATCCCCAACCAGGGGGGTGACCCATGTAGTGCGGCAGACCTTTCCTGTCTCCCTGCTGCTCCCCTCAGCAGCTGACTTCATCAACCTGCTCGTTCTGCTCCCCACTCTGTCTTTGGTGAATCTTCTCACCACCCCTGCACCTCTGGCCTGTACCAGATCTGTATGCATAAGTAAATCTTTAAAAGAAAAAAATAGATGTTTTAAAAAATAAAAATTACAAAATTACTAAAAAAAAAAAAAGTAAATGTCATCCACCTCTCCTCACCTCTCTTGCCATCTATCTGCTGGATCTGCCTAGTGGGGCGGGGGCAGCACACAGCTCCCTTCATCCCCATGGTGGTGGTACCTCCAGGCACCCTGAGCTGGGGGTCACTCCTCACTGAGTTTTCATGTCTGAGCTTCTGCTTATGAACCGCAAGCCTGCAATCCCCCAGAGACCTAGCAGGACAGACCGGTACGTCACACGCACCTGCCAGTGACCTTGCACCTGTCTCCCCCAGGTCCAAGTGGGTTCCTCGGGGGGACTACATCTCCTCCAACACGGACGAGTGCATGTCCACGCTAATGTACGCCGTCAACCTGAAGCAGTCTGGCACTGTTAGCTTCGAGTACTACTATGCAGACTCCAGCATCATCTTTGAGTTTTTTGTAAGTCTCCGGACAAGCTGGAGGAGGTGGGTGGGAGGTAAAAACCATCCCAGGCAGAGGACTTGGATTCATTTACAGGAATCACAAGCATAGTCCTGGATTGGAATTTTCCATAGCTGTTTTCCCACTGGAGAGAATTGGGGGGCGAGGGGGAGGAACTGAGCATCAAAATGCAAGGGGGAGAGTGTGAGGAGAAGTCTAGGTGTCTCACTCTGTTCAGGCTTGAAACAGCATGTAAACACCTTCTGAGTTCAATTACTGAGCAGTGTCAGCGCATTGATGTGTGTGTGTGTCATCGTGTGACTAGTCCCTGCCCTACTTCAGGGCTTATCATGTGTTCTGAGCTCGCCCCTCAAGGAAAAGGGCAGCTCTTCTCCATAAGCAGGACGCTCTGGAGGGCAGGTGCAGGACCAGGTAAAGAATTTGCTCCCTTAAAAAGCTGAGGCTGATCCCCTACTCCTGCCACCCCAGGTTCAGAATGACCAGTGCCAGCCCAATGCAGATGATTCCAGGTGGATGAAAACCACGGACAAAGGATGGGAATTCCACAGTGTGAGTAGCATACTGGCCTTCTCCTGGGGACCCGAAAAGAGGGAGCAATGCCCCATCTTCCCAACCTGGGCTCCTGCTCCTCTGTCCCTAGAGGATGGGAACTGACGAGAGGATGCTAGTTTCTCTCCTCTTGAGTTGACATGTGGGAGGGGGCTGACCTCTAGCTCCACTGGCTTAACCCCAAGGACCAACAGTTTCCCAGCTGCTCAGAGGGCCAAGGCTTCTGAGGGTGGAGGGATGAGCAAGGGGAGAGCAAAGGAACACCAGTCACCCTAATGTCATCACCCTCCAGTCCCTCACGGTGTATGTGATTGAGAGAAAAGAGCAAAGGGAGGAAAAGCTGGGAGAGGAGGATTGGAAGGAGAGAGGAGCTAAGCCAAGATTTAAGGGGGGAAAAAACTGAGGAAGGTGAGGGAGAGGATCAGAACAGCTACTCGGACACTCGCAGGAGGGTTTTGGCAAGAGGCCCACCCAGGGCACTGGTGATGGGTGTCTCTGCAACTGGCCCCGCTCCGTCTGTGGCTTTCAGGTTGAGCTAAATCGAGGCAATAACATCCTGTACTGGAGAACCACTGCCTTCTCAGTATGGTCCAAAGTTGCCAACCCTGTGCTGGTGAGAAACATCGCCATAACAGGTAGGAGCAGGTCAGACCTGGGGTAGGTTGCCGGCCCCCTGGCCTCCTGATTTCGGGGGGTACAGGGCCGGCCCCTGAGGACCTCTAGACTCAGTCCTTGCCCTTGTATGTCGTCCTCCTCCCTAGGAGTGGCCTATACCTCCGAGTGCTTCCCCTGTAAGCCTGGTACCTACGCAGACAAGCCGGGCGCCTCTTCCTGCAAACTTTGCCCGGCCAACACTTACTCGAATAAGGGAGAAACCTCTTGCCACCAGTGTGATGCTGACAAATACTCAGGTGATGTTTCAGGGATCAGGGGGCTTGATGGGAGGGGTGGGGGTGAGGTAAACACACGCCACGTAAAATAGGAAGAAGAGGCATCTTTCTGAGCAAGCTGAAGACAGTAATTCTCAACCCCTGGCTTCCTAGACCCTGCAAGAGCCTTGCACATTTTAGCAATCACTCTAAAACTAAAATCATCCGATAAATATTTATAGATCCGCTACTATCTGCCAGACACTATTCTAGGTGCCTGGGGTTCATCAGTGAACAAAGCAGAGAAAGATCCTGTCCATAGAACTTACATTCTGGTGTGGGAAAGACAAATAGTGAACAATGAACATCATAAGCAATAAACATAAATTATATAGCATGTTAGTTGATAAAATGTTCATGGTGCTGTGGGAAAAAACAAAACAAAACAGCCCAGGTTTGGGGGGATGAAGAAGTTTAGGGAGGGTCCTCCCAGGTTAAAGTGCAGCACCATGAAGCTCTCCACACCACTGCAGTGCGAGTTCAATTCCCCGCCATATGGCTCAGCAGACCTCTCCTGTTCTGCCCTCTGCTCCCCTCAGCAGTGTATTTCAGTAGATCTGCCTGTTCTGCTCCCCACTCTGTCTCTGGTGAATCCTCTCTCCAACATACCTGTGGCCTGTACCCCCATTCTTGTATGCATAAATAAATAAAATTTTTAAAAAGAAAAAAAAAGTTAGGGAAAGAAATAGCAATTTTTAGCAGTGAAATTTTTAAACAAAATCTTTTAATATTATAAAGAACTATAGATAAAAGTTTCTATATTTGAATATGTAACAGTTGTTATCCAAGTTAGGAGAGCCATGAAGCTGAGCTGCTGAGTAAAACATTTTTGATAGCAAAAGCTGAAGAGGGAAATGAAAATCTTGTCTCAGCCTGAGCAACCACCGAATTGAAAGCAAGCATTTTCAGGGAATAAAAGTATTCCTTGGACACAGTTTGAAAAACATTGCTCTAAAGGAAAACAAGAGGACAACTGAAACAGTCTTGTATCCTAAGTACCTTCCTAAAGTGCCCCAGCATGAGAAAAAGGACCTGCTCATTTGAGGGGGTTTCAAGGACAGTGAGGGCCAGGCATAGATGGAGAGTACCCCCGGGGGGGCGGGGGCTCATCTCCCAGGCAGGTTCTGAAACAAACAAGCATGGAAAGAACATCTTCTCCCATCCCCTGCAAACACTCACAGCCAGCCCATTTTTCCTGTTTCACACAGACCTGCAAACTCAGCCCAGGGCCCTCTCTCCAGCAGACCCGCCCCACGAATCTGCACAGACACCGCCACCCTGCCATAGGTGTTGTAGCCTATGTTTGCTCAGCCAGCACCTGCCATTGACCCTGTGAACTGCTTATTTCTACACTATTCCTAAAATACAAGTCCTGTTTATCTACACGGGTCTTACCAAAAGGGTATAGTTTCCAGTAAGAACAAGGAATGTCTAGCTCTTGTGGGGAGTTTTTATCTATGTCTACAATGCTGTTTTCCACTTGAATTCCTTCTTTCTCTTCCCTGCTCTTTCAGTGGCTGTCTTTGTTAGTCTAAGACTCTCTGCAGCCCAGCAGCGACACACATGTTTGAATGGTAAAGTGGTTATTCTAGAAAATTGCCGAGGAGTGTTTTGATCAATTCTGTGACTACTGATGTTTATCCAGAGAGCTGTTATGGAAGTGTTAGTTTGGAAGTGTGAATTCTTGGAGCCCCTTCTCCATCTCCCCTCAGCTTCTCAGTCTAGCCCTTGGTCCAGGAAGTGAGTGTTTATTAGAAAGAGGACAGCCAGCTTGTCGACCACCTCTCCAGCTTGGAATTCAAAGAGAATCACATCTCTTTGGGACTTAGGGTCAGTGGGAGGTTGGAAAATGCAGAGAGAGCCTGAGGAGAGCCTAGTGTGGATTGAGCAGTGACAGAAGTCACTGGGACCATTTGGTCGCCCATTGATAAGAATGTTCTGAGTGCCACTTGGTGCCAGCTAGGATCTGAGCCGGGATCTGCCCTGCAGCTTATGTGAAAAAGTCAAAAGATGGTTCTAGAAGCCCCTGATGCTGTGTTATTCCTGTGCCATGGGGGAGCAGGTGCTGGGGCAGGAACCCTGAGTGGAGTGGGAAGTGGAGTCATAATACCACAGCTTTGCTAGCTGTGGTATTAAAAGATGAACTGGGTTTTGAAAGATGAGTCACTGATGTGATAAGGCAGGATCTTCTGGAAAGAAGTATGAGCCAAGGGTAGAAGGCACAGGCACATGGAGTAACTCAGGTGGCCGGAGCTTACGCAGAGAGAAGTAGCACCCCCGGCTGAAAGACCAGCACTTCTGTGCCTCAGCTTTAAAAAATGGGACTTGATCCTATCAGTAGTGGGGTCATTAAAGAATATTAAGTTGGGGTGTGGCATCATGTACTGGCATTTAAAAAAATAAATCAACCACTCTGCTTGCCTTTTAGAAAATGGATGAGGGAAGGCAGAGCTGGAGGTGGAGGCCTCCCCTGGGAGGCTTTGCAGCTGACACTATTGCTGGGACCCAGGACTGGAGCTAGGCCAGAGCTGGTGGAGGTGGCGGCTTAAGGGCAAAGGCTTGACTAAAAGCATCTTTCCCATTGATACTTACAGTGGGATCAGTAAGCCTAATTGCTTTGTGTTCCTCTTAATGCAAGGGATCCATTTCCTGATAGAATACCGTGAGCACCAGAACTAAAGCAAGGCCTACTCCCTGCTTCGCCATACTAGTTGCAACACCCTCTGCAAGCCACTTGTCTGTGCCTCAGTTTCCTCATATACAAAACAGAAATGACCATGATTGTATTTACCTCGCAGGGTGACTATATGGATTAATTGATTAAAAGGTGTAAAGGGATTCAAATAATGTCTGGCATTCCTGAGCACTAATTTCATTCACTCATTTCCATCGAGGCCCATCCCAGCTGTCCTCTTCTTCTATGAAAACACTCTTGCCATAAGTAACAGTAACAAGCCACTTGTGTAGCACTTGGCCACCGACAGCACGCTCCCTCCTGGATCGCTCTTAGCCCGGCACTGGAGTGAGGTCTCCATTCCCAAGTGAACAGAAGCAGCTCAGAGACATTAAGGGATTTCCCAGTGTCCGAGGTGGGCCTGGTATTACATTTCCAGGGGAAATGCCCTCTGAGGAAAAGGATTTGAAAGAGCCTGGTACTGCTGGAGATGGGGAGACCATGCTGGAAGGAGGGGCGAGGTAGTGAAAGAAGAGCTGGAGCCCCCACGATAAATGTCACCTCCTTACAGTTTTGCCCATGGCCAATTCTACAGGAATCACTTTGCACTTCCCTGGCCAACACCTTTCAAACTTGACTTCAATCCAATCCAAACACCTTGATGAAAGCTGAACTAGGAAAGTGCCGTCTGCCTCAGCACTGGGGTTAATCATTTATTACAATGCCTTAGGAGTTGTCAGCCTGTAAACAGTGGGACGATTTTTGCTGAAACCTGGAACTACAATATCAGGCTAAGCAAATATTTGCTAAGCAGAGAAAGGTCCTTGTGGGGAATGCATTGTCTTCACTGGTGTCTTGCAATTTGCTAGGTCCTAGGAACTGCCTATTTTTGGCTTCTCTACCCAAATTTCTCCCAGCTGAGTCCATCATAAGCAGGAGTCCCTGGTCCTTGATGCTGAATGAGGCCATATCTGCTTATTAAACAAGTAAATGAGCTATGAAGAGCCCGGCTGTACCTCAGCCCGCAGCTCCCTCTTGCCCAGGCTAATAAGACAGGGACAGAGGTGTGTGTGGGGGGGGAATGTGTGGTGGAGGGGACTTCCCGGGGCAGGCCAACAGGCTATAATTAGGAAATTCTTCGATCTAGGAATTCATTTTTGCCTTGGGAGAAGAATCAGTTGAGAAACAGCCCATAACTGAAAGGGAGAAGAGATTTCTAATCCTTGTTATAAATCCAGTGACACCAAATACTAATAATTCCCACAAACACAGGCAATGGTAGTTACCAGTATCTAGTGAGTGTCTCCTTACAATGTTCCCTCAAGCTAGTTCTCCAGGTGAGAACAGTAGGGCTCAGAGAGGTTAAGTATCTTGCCTAAAGGGATCACAGCCACTAAATAATGCTGTGGAATCCAAACTTAGATCTGTCTGACTTAAAATCTCATCCTGCTATATTGTACTGCCCACTGGGTAATACAGAATGCACCTCACCATTATCAAGGTGCTGTACAGGCGCTGGTGCTCTATGAAGCACTGGTTTTTATTCTGAAGAAAGTAAATTCACTGAAGATTTTTTTTTAATTATAGATTTTTTTTGGATAGAGGAAACAGGTCTTTTTTAAATGAATATATAATCAACCTCTACCTTTCTACTAGCTGCAGGTGTACAGGATGCATTTGCTATTTGTATATATGTAAAGTGAGCTCCCTAAATCTAGTCAACACTCATCACAGCACAGTTACAAGGAAACCGGTTCTTTTCTCAAATTCTCAAAAGGGTTTGTAATTCAAAAAAAGGTGAAATCTGTTGCTTTAAAGAGGGTTTCACTGAATTAGCCCTTGTTATCCAGGGGCTCCTAGCGTTAAAACAAAGACATTAGGAGAACACGCAGAGAGCAAAATCAATAAAATGACAGCTAACAACACCGCTCATAAGGTACAGGTCAAGGTACAGTTAGCACTAGGCTGAGTGCTTGGGGTGAGGAGGGAGGAAAAACACTATGTCTTAAGTGGAGGAAATGATCACCCTATTTTTATAGCATGGTTGTACGGAGACCAGGCGAAAGGGAAATTTCAAAGGTGGAAGACCTTCATGCGAGGCGTCTGTTGAGAGGAAATTCAGAGGCAGAACTGGAATTAATCTGAGGCACCTGGAAGATGGCGGGTTTCAGGGAGCTTGAGCTACTGGTGCTTGACCTCTCCCTGCTGTTCCTCTGGCCCAGCCACTTCTTGTGGCCCCAGTGGTTTCTTATCAGCACCAGGAGAGGGAGCAGAGCTCTAGAGGCTGAGAAGGGCTCTCCTGAGGCAAAGGGTTGGGGGCTGGTGTGTGGAGCCGACTCTTTCCCACAGCACCTGTGTCTGTGTTGGCTGCACCCCAGCGGCTTTGAGCAAGTGGTCAAGAGCTCTGCTCTCCGACATAACTTCAAATATTTGTCTTTGCTTTTACAATTTAGAAAAAGGATCCTCCTCCTGCAAAGCACGCCCAGCCTGTACAGACAAAGATTACTTCTACACCCACACAGCCTGCGATGCCAATGGAGAGGTGGGTAGTGGTTCTCAGAGCCCCTTTGCCCACACCGTGGGCTTTCCCACACTTGAGTTCTAGCGATCTGCAGACCTGGCACCAGAGAATCCCTCATAGCCTTCCGCAATGACCCCGGGGCCAGAGGGAGGCGACATGAGGTGGCCTCATTCATTTTCAGGTCAGAAACTGGTCTTGCCACATTTGTTCTACTGCTTATTCAGACGTGATCTGTTTCCAACAGGCGTTTCATTTTTGTCACTGAATCAGCAAGTATGTTTTGAGTATTAATTGCCATGTGGCATATTGTGGTCCCACTGGACACTTAGAGATGGCTAGAGCAGGGCCTGCCCTCAGGAGCTGGGAGCTGAGGACTGTGGAGGAGGAGAGGAGGAAGATGGGCCTGGAGGAAGCTGGAGGGAGGGACAGGGTCTTGGGGCCCAGGAAGGGCTCTCAGAGGACGTCATTCATTCACTCTGTCACTCACTATGCTAGGCACTGCATACACCACAGTCCAGAAACCGAGGAGACGCCTTCTCTCCTGGTGCTCATCCTTGTTAGGGAGGGAGAGGGCCATAGATAAACTACAATCGGTGTGCACTCTATCAGATGGGAATAAGCAGCAAGAAAAACAAAATAAGACAGGATTAAGAGACAGAGGGTTGGTGCGATGCAAAGTGGGGCATGGCACTTTGCGGGCAGGGGGCACAGTGGGTAGAGAGGAGGCCAGGCAGCGCCTGGGGGGCTTGAGGAACAGCAGTCAGGGAGCAGGGCTGGCTCCGGGCACAAATGGAGGGCCCTGGCTCAGGTCAGAAATGCTGGGTTAAAATGCCATGTCCTTACCCAGAGCCTCTGCGAAAGACAGAAGTGGGAGTCAGATGTCTGCCTTCAGTGCTAAGCATGTGCTGGGCTGTTAGGATGTGCGCTTGCCGCCAGGCTGGCCAGCTGGATTCTCCCCTTGCTAATTAATCATGGGATAAAGAATGGCCCTTAACAGTGATTATTTTACATAGTTATCTCATTTCCCCTCCAAGCCTTCCCCACTCGTGCATGGAAACTCCTAGTCTTTGCCAGCAGCCAAGAGATGATGTCTTGTCAGTTGCATCTGAGGCTCAGTTCTGTGGTCTTGTAAACATTTTTATTTTCTTGGCCTCAGTTGACTCACTAATTAAATGGGGACAGCCTACTCCTTCCTTAGCCTCTGCCCAACCCCCATCACCGTGACATCTTCCTTTTACCTCTTCTGCCTCACCTCCCATACTTGGGCCAAGTCTTCTAGATCTGCAATGTATTCTGCCTGTGGGCCTGACCTCTGCCCCCCGCCCAATTGGGGGGGCCTCTAGACACTGGTCGGACCAGCCAGGGCTCAGGGGAGGAGCCCTGAGCATGGGGCACCAAGGGGTGCACATGGATATGACCTGCACAGGAATGCCTGAGGGAAGGCTCTGTGTTTTGTGCCTCACTCCCAGCCCAGTTTTGCTCAATCTCATGATTTCAGTTTGCCTGCCTTCCCTTTTTAAGTTATTATTATTTTTATCAGGGTTAACTGACTTACAGCATTGTGCATGATTTAGAGGTACAGGATCACCCCACCACACCCACCACTGAGGCAGCCACGTCCTCCAAACTCTGCTCTCAGTTATCTCTGAATCACTAGGTCTGTTGTGTAGGTGCAATGGTTTGTCTGTAAATGTTCACTGAATAAATGAAAAAGCAAATAAAAGACTTGGAAGACACACTGGGACACCTCAACTGCCTCCTCTTTCCCTAGAGCTATGTTGGCACGCGCACCCCCTGCCCCTCTATATTCTGGGGTATTCAGCAGCTGCCTTGCCATGGCAGTGATGAGACTTGACATTGAAATCAGAGGTTTTTCTGGAGATCCTCTCCCCACCCCATTACCTCTGTCCCACATTAGGGTGCCTGTCTTGAGTCAGAATTCATCCTACAGAGACTTACAGCCATGTAGTACCAGGCCCTGGGCAAGGGGTTTAGCATAAACAAGGTTCCTCACCTTGTCATCCTAGCCCAGATCCTCCTCACCACCCTCACCTCTTCTTCAAGGTAGATTCCTGAAGATGCATTAACTCCCACACAGGCTAAGCTGAGCTTACTCCATCTCTGCAGACACAGCTCATGTACAAATGGGCCCAGCCAAAGATCTGTGGTGAGGACCTGGAAGGGGCAGTGAAGCTGCCTGCTTCAGGCGTGAAGACCCTCTGCCCACCCTGCAACCCTGGCTTCTTCAAAACCAACAACAGCACCTGCGAGCCCTGTCCTTATGGCTCCTACTCCAACGGCTCCGGTAACTCCTTACATCCCTACTCCTGCCATCCTATCCATGCCTACATCGCCCACGTGGGTGAGCCGCCTGGGCACAATGTGGTCAGCTAAATGCAGACTCTGCCCTTCCAAGGGAGGCGGTAAGGGTCAGGACACCTTTGCGGACCAAGTTCAGGAGCAAGAGGTCTGGGCGGGCCTCAAAACTAAGGCTCCCAGGTGTGTCCAGGGTGCTAAGCAGAAAGTTTGGGGAGCTAGGATGACCTGCTTGACACAACCAGAACCTGAGACCATACTGCAAAGAGTCAGGGCCAAGGGAATGTGTGGACCTGTGAGTGCAAATGCCTTTACTGACAACAGGACAAATCATTTGAACTACACCGGCCATACTAGAAGAGACTTTGAAGTTGGGAGATGGAGAATTCTCTGGGAAGGTGGCATAGCTGGAAGATTGGAATGGAGGGTCTGCACTCATGCTGTGACCCGTCAGAATGTTTGGGGGTCCACTTGACAAGGCCGCGCAGTGGTGCTCAGCACCACCCTGCCTGGCCACCCTCCACTGCCGTCACCCATCGTATGACAGCAGCTCAGCCAGCTGGCCCCTTCCTCTGAGTGTGGGGATCTGGTGGTCTCTGCAGATTGTAGCCGCTGCCCAGCCGGGACTGAGCCTGCCATGGGATTTGAATACAAGTGGTGGAACACGCTGCCCGCCAACATGGAGACCACCGTGCTCAGTGGCATCAACTTCGAGTACAAGGGCATGACAGGTAACTGCCCGCCCCTTAGGTGAGCTGTCAGCTCCCTCCTCTCCACAGGGGCTCTTCACCTTCATGTTTCTTCAGGACAGTGAAGCCTGGGGAAAATGAGCCAGTCATGCCATGCACTTCCTTGAAAACTCCCCTCTGCGTCGGCGTATGTCCTGCCAGGCTTAGTTTCGGGGCAGACAGAATGTGAAGTAGTACATGCACATGCCAAAGGTCTGGCTCTCAGCACGGGGGTCTTTGACCCAAGGGGCAGATGAGCTACAAGGTTCATGGAAGTGGAGGTGCTGCGCACCGCGAGGACAACCTCTCTTCCAGCATGTCCTCTTCACTCTTGCCCGGAGGACTGCGCTCTCTCTTCCCACTTCTTTCACAGGCTGGGAGGTGGCTGGAGATCACATTTACACAGCGGTTGGAGCCTCGGACAATGACTTCATGATCCTCACTCTGGTTGTGTCTGGATTTAGGTGAGAAGCCAAAGCCGCCTTACCATGGCCACGCCCCCCTCTCCTCGCCCATTGCGGAGCCCGGTGTGGGGAGGTGGTGAGAGGGCTCAGGCTAAACAGCAGCCTCTTCTGAACAGAGGAGAGCATAGCGGTGATGCTGTGCCGGGCCTCACTGCTGGCTAGTCAGGGGCTTCACTGGGGGCTGCTCACTCTGCTCCCTCGTCCCATCCAGGTTCTCCCACACTACTCGTAGCTCTTCCTCCTCAGCATCACTTAAGATTTAAATACAGCAAACAAACTTTTACATGGGCCAGAAGTTCCCATAGACAGTTTGTTTTTGTTTGGGGCAAGAAAGATTGAAGGAATTATTCTCATCGTCATATTTCTCATAATAACCCAAGAAAACCTAGTGGAACTGGAGGCCCGGGAGCTGTTGGAAAAGTGGTGGCAGTTTGCCACCTGCTCAGAGGCCAGAGTTGTTGCCTGTGGGCAACATCTACCTCTGTCCCCCCACCCCCACGTCCCCAGTGCTTGGCCCCAGAGCAAGGCAGCGCAGGCAGCAGCAATAGCGAACCACGGTGGCTCCCTTATTGTGGCCTCTGGTTCATGGCCCCCAGGGGACCAGCTTGAGTGCTGTGGCTCCTCCTGCTGCAGGCGGTAGAGAGGCCCATGGATTAGGCGCCTGACCATGCACTGGACCCGTCCGTTGCAAGCTATGAGCTAGCTGGTGCTACGTGCAGTCAGCCATAGGACTGAAAACAGCCCAGTCAGACTCGTAGGTGGGGACTCAGGAAGGAGGACCCAAGGCAGGCGGACACCAACTACACCTCCCTATAGCTCTCTGTGGTACTAGGATGAAAAAAGCAATGTGTTTGCCCTAAAATAATACGACAGGCACTATGGTATGTTGGAAAGAGCAGTGACTGGATGACCTGAGCTCTGCCACTGCTGCCTATGTGGACTTGGGAACATCACCTTGTCCCTGTAGACCTCAAGTTCCTTGTCTGTAAATAGGGACACGCAGGCTGTCAATCTGCACCAACTCTGGTGGGGGAGTCTGCGGCGCCCCCAGTTGTAGGCAGCACAACTGTGTGGACAGGAGCTGGGATTTAGGGAGATGGCTAAGGCCAAAAGAAAAGCTGCAACTGGATTTCCAGAGCTCCCCTGCTCACACATGCTTTCAGGAGCCGCTTTCTAATGGCCCGTTTGGTGTCTCTGCTCCTTTCTTGAATTTCCCTCCTCTCCATCCTAGATAGCACTCAGCTGCTGGTAGCTCTTTGTTTCCCCAAAGCAGGACCAGTGAGAGCATCTGCCTAGCTGACTACAAGTGGAGGTAGCTGCTCCTCCAGCCCAGGCAGGGCTCAGGCGACTCCAGGCAGGCAGCTGGGTCTAGACCACTGACATCGTATATGGGCAGTGCAGAAGCATCACCTGGGAGCCATGTTTACCTGAAGACTCTGACTTCAGTGGGGCTGGGTAGGGAACCAGGGGCTCCCTACTGTGGCTGGTGCCATGGTGGGGCCCACGCTCTATCAGGAGGCTTTGCAAAGCACTCCACACCTGTGATGCCTGTGGCTCTCACCACGATGACAGGAGGTGAACAAGAACAGTATCAGCCTGCAGTCTGGCTAGTCAAGGTCACACAGCCCACATGGCAGAATTGGGCTTACTCCCGCTCGTTCCCATAGAACCAGGACTTAATCCTGCCCTCCAGGAGAGCTGTGGCTGCTGGCTTGGCTCTCCAGTAAGCAGTGATCTGTCGCTAACTCTTCATTTCTTCTCCCACAGATCTCCACAGTCGGAGATGGCAGACACAGAGAACAAAGAGGTGGCCAGGATCACGTTTGTCTTTGAGACCATCTGCTCTGTAAACTGCGAGCTTTACTTCATGGTGGTATGTTTGCCTTTCTCTGCCAGCCACAGGGACTGCCAGGACTACTCTGCCCGTGGGTGTATCAACACAACCCACAGCCCCCACCCAGAGCAAGTTCCCAGGGACAGGGCCTAGACTGTCCATCGGGGGTAGCTGGGTGCTGGGCTGGCCGGCTGTGACGGCGCCCGGCTGGCAGTGTGGCCGCCCTCTCCCCACACGTCTCCAGCCACTGTGCCCTCTCCACTTGTCTGTCTCGGGTTCAGGGCATGAATTCTAGGACCAACACTCCTGTGGAGACGTGGAAAGGTTCGAAAGGCAAACAGTCCTACACTTACATCGTCGAGGAGAACGCCACCATGAGCTTCACCTGGGCCTTCCAGAGGACCACTTTCCACGACACGGTAAGCTCTCCTTGCTCAGACTCCCAGGGGAGACCCTGGGAGCCCCGAAGGATGCCTCGCAGTAGCTTACATCCAAGGCTCAGGGGACTGGAGGAGCCGCAGAGAGCTGGCTGTTGCAGCCCGCGGAGGAGCAGACGGCCTGGTGCAGTCGCCTTCCAGGGAAGAGGACTCTGCCATCTTCTTAAATGACCTGCTGCTCCCACCAGCCTCTGGCTCGAGGACATGAGTGGTGCCTGGCCTCTGTTGTTGTTTTTAATAATAATAGTGGTCTTTAAAGGCACAGTAATGCAGGTTTATGCCAGGAAACTTAAAAGATAGAAAGAAGCATCTCTTAATCCTACTTCCCAGAGATGACCCAGTTAATGTCTAGAGTGTCTCCCGTACAGGAGACAAGTTTCTTTTTCTTTGGTGAGGAAAAGACCTGCTTTATGTATATGTGCATGTATATAAGGGAAACATGTAGATATGCATATACATACCAGTATCTACTACATGCTTCCCTTATGACACTGAATTCTTTTTAGGCAAAGGAATAATAAATTTATTGTCAGATAAGGACAGGAAAGCTCTCTGAACAGAGAGGGGCCTCAAGGGGGTTGCACAGCACTATATAATATTATACATCATTTAAAATGGATTAAAATGACATAAAATGCATATAAGGAGCTACCATCTGTGAGCAAAGAGAATAGGATGCTTCAATATTATTCCCAAGTGCCATAGAATAAAACAGATCAAGTAGGTCTTTCCAGCGGATGTGACTGCTGCTACTGTCTCAGGCTTCCGTGCTCTCCTCTTGTTTCCAGGGAAGAAAGTATACCAATGACATGGCCAAGATCTACTCCATCAACATCACCAACGTGATGGACGGGGTGGCCTCTTACTGCCGCCCCTGTGCCATGGAAGCCTCAGACTTGGGCTCCTCCTGCACCTCCTGTCCTGCCGGCTACTACATCGATCGGGATTTGGGAACCTGCCAGCCATGTCCCCCTAACACAATCCTGAAAACCCACCAGCCTTATGGCATCCAAGCCTGCATGCCCTGTGGTCCGGGGACCAAGAGCAACAAGGTGCCTGCATGTGTCACGCTCCCCCCTGGACCTCTCTCAGGCAGCTTCGCCATAGTGGGGGTCTTCAGGGGTTCACATTCCAGCATTCCCCATAGCACGTGTCCAGCTCAGAGTCCTGGAGGACATGCCTCCAAGGCTGTGACTGTGAATGGCAAGGGCTTAGCTAGAGTGATCTAGTCTCAGTCAGGGACAAATCTCATTTTTTTTTTTTTTAGGTTTTATTTATTTATTCATACAGAACTGGGGTACAGGCCAGAGATGCGGAGGGTGAGAGGATTCACCAGAGACAGAGTGGGGAGCAGAACAGGCTGACTGACGAAGTACACTGCTGAGGGGAGCAGCGGGAGGGTCAGGAGAGGTCTGCCACGCCATGTGGTTGCCTCCGGGGCAGGCGGGAATCGAACTCATGCGGAAGTGGCTTTAGTTTTTTAGTGCAGTGCTTTAACCCGCTGCGCCACCAGGGAGGGCCCAAATCTCATTTTTAAGAGATGGGTAAGGGGGACCTATGGCCTTCTGGCCCACCTGTGTAGACACCTAAAGGGAAAGCATCCTCTGGCTGGGGCCCTAACTCAGTTACCTCACCTCAGCCTGCTATCATGGGAATCTGCCCTTCTTTGCAGAGGTAACCCACCTCTTCTGGAACATATGGTTAATTGGTGCTGCTGTCTTCTAGCTCAGTGGTTTCTTCTGAAGTGGAAAAACATGGTTGCCCCATGTATTGTCTATGACTGAAAGCTCTCAAGCATTGTTAATGCTTTTAAATGAAGTGGACATCTGTTCTGCTGGTCAGTCACATGTACCTGGGGGGTATAATTTGTGTAGTCAGCAAATATCACACAGATCAGCAGTGCAATAAATATAAAATGTCGACAGACCCAGAGGGGCCTCCGAGGTTCCCTCGATCTTTGCCACTACCTTCCCCTGGAGCGCCCCCTGCTGCTGTGGGAAGGAATGACAGTTGTGTAAGCTTGCTGCTGAGTGGAAGCCAGAGGAGCAGGAAGGGGTTCATGGAAGTTTAGTTTCCTACCGAGAACCTGGGAAGGGGGAGGCAGGCTTCAGTGAGTTTTCACTGGGGGGACAGGGGAGTTTCCTGCTATCCTGGACCCCCTTCTTTCAGTTAGCACCTCACTGTCTGCTGTTTGAATGGTGAAGAGCTCTCTTGCATCTTGAGAAGGTTCTATGACCTAAGCATAGGAACAAGGCAATAGGATCTCACAGAACCATTATGGGGAAAGAAAAGGTGTGGGCTTGTATACCCTGTATGCGCTAATGCTTGAGTGGCAAATGCACAGGAGCCCTACTGGTCCCTGTTTTGCTTCTCTTAATGCTGACCCACCCAATCCTTCCTTCCTCTCCTTTCACCCCAGTTGGGTTGGACTCAGCTGGTGGGGGGGATAACTACTCAGTGTCTCTGTGACCTCTTGGGGTCCTGGGTCGTGTCTGAGCAGCCACCTGGCCCTGACCGGTTCTCTCCACCCCCAGGTCCACTCCCTGTGCTACAATGACTGCACCTTCTCAGTCAGGACGCCCACGAGGAGCTTGGACTACAACTTCTTGGCTTTAGCCAACACTGTCTCTCTGGCTGGAGGGCCAAGCTTCACTTCCAAAGGGCTGAAGTATTTCCATCACTTTACCCTCAGTCTCTGTGGAAATGAGGTAAGGGGAGAAAGTGCCAATAGGGTAAGAATTGTAAGGGGACATGAGTGGCCCAGAGGTGAGAATGGGATGATGAAGAAAAGACAGGAAGCTGTGGGGAGAATTGAGGAGATAAAAGGGATCTGACCTGATGATAATTTTCCCTGAGGTCTCTTCCCTCTAAAATGAATTCATTTGGATGCCAAATATTTGGGAAAATCCAAATGCTTCAAATAAGATGGTCGTTTACTCCTGCCTAGACTTTATTCCTTCAAAATGAGTGTATAAGATCTAGGCGGGGGATAGTGGTTTTCCTCCATGAAACAGGCTTCAGCCATCATGGCACTTGGCACCTGTTTTCTGGACAGCTTCTGGATAAAATAAACTGTTCTTGATTCATCTATATGTATCATTCAGGACAATGCAAAAGAAAGTAAAGGCTTCAGTAGTGAGGAAAGAGTATTACTGTCTACCATCTCATGCCGCTGCAAATATTTTAGACCCAAAATGAAAAGGCAGAAATATACAGGGCAATCACCTTGCCACTGCAGGGAGGAAATGACAGAGCAGCCAGGATCAGCGGCAGGAAAGTGGATTTCCAGTGTAACAAGACAGAATATTGGCGCATGCGGCCTGTGACTTGGGGGGGCGGCCCCTCTCCGCTTCTGCAGCATTCACAAGAGCGTGTTTGTGTTTATGCAGAGGCCTGGTCAAGAAATAAGCTTATCTGCAGAAGGTCAGACATCGATGTCTCTATCTTGTTTTTAAGTCTTTGGAGAAGCTAACAAAGAGCCTTGAAAGTGATAGTGACCCGTCAGGAACTGAGACTGAGCTAAGTGTTTCAGTCATTGAGTTGGGAAAGAGAAGGAACTGGGGAATTCGGAGAGATTACATCTTTTTTGTTTTTCTTTGTTCTTTTATTGTTTTTAGACATACCTGCTGTGTCACATCATACTATTTCAGTTCAAAGACAAAATAACCCTTTCTTTTATGATAATGTAAAGCCTTTTTTCTGTTCTCACTGTATCTTTTTCTTACAATCTAGGAAACCAATTGAGAAATGAGATTTAGCAATTTCACGCCATTTGTAGTACAATTTAGGATACTGAAAATCCTATGTTCTAAATTTTACGCCCACTTAAAAACATTAAATACATGATTTTATATCAGCAAACAAATTATGTATTGATAGTCTGTAATAGTATCATTTTGGGAGGAACAACAGCTCAACATTTCCTGTTACAAAGTCTGGAGGAAGAACAAGTCTCAATTCCTACCACCCTATGGCGTTCCCTACATTGCAGGCTGTTAAACGCAGATTTCTTCTTTGATACATTTTTTTAAATAAGAAAAATAGGGGACTAGTAATTGGGGACTGTCTTAACCCCTGAGAATCTCTGTCTAGAAAGTGTTTCAGGGAGAAGTATAGTGGGTTCAGGGAGACAGAGAGGGAATGTGAGCCAGGCCAGACGTGTGACAATCTCATGAAATCAGTTATATCTGTCATCCTCTTTCTGGAGAAATGACAAGTAAGGAAGGTCTTTAACGGGAGGCCTGTAGATGAGGTTCCAAATCAGCAGCCACCTTCACAACCCTGCTCTCTGAGGGCTCCCAGGAGACTCCAAAGAAACGAGACTGGGGACCCCTGGCCAGAGTTTCAGAAACTAGGACACCTAGACCTTATTTTTAGCTTCTAAAAAATTGCAAAGTTGTTTCATAATTAGAAGAGGGCTGACTCATTCCACTGCAACACACTCTTGGAAGGCTGGCTTTTTAGACACTTAAAAAACTGTCCCCAGCTGCCTTCGGGGACTACTCTGACCATGCACTCAATCCTCTCCCCCAGGGTAAGAAAATGTCCGTGTGCACTGACAATGTCACCGACCTCCGGGTTCCTGAGGGTGAGTCGGGTTTCTCCAGATCCATCACCGCCTACGTCTGCCAGGCGGTCATCATTCCCCCAAAGGTGACAGGCTACAAGGCTGGAGTGTCCTCGCAGCCTGTCAGCCTCGCGGATCGACTTATTGGTGAGTGACCCCACTGTGCCAGCCAAGGTGGACGTGTGTGTGTGTGTGTGTGTGTGTGTGTGTGTGTGTGTAAAGGAGAGTGAAGCTACCAGGCCTGAGGTATTGTCAGATGAGGGGTGCTGCTGCCTCCTCACCGCTTTTCTGTTCATCTGGGGCTGCCAAGTGCCCCTGGAGACCTCTGACAAACCTCTGGCTCACCCTCAGATGAGCCACTCAGGGATGTGATGAGATGAAGGAAGGTTGGATGTTGACAGGTATTGAAAGAATTGAAGTGGTTGCCAGCTAATGCTACCAGTGAGAACTAACTGGGAGCTCTAATTTGGCAGGGGTGACAACAGATGTGACTCTGGATGGAATCACCTCCCCAGCTGAACTTTTCCACCCGGAGTCCCTGGGAATTCCGGACGTGATCTTCTTTTATAGGTGAAGATAAGCAGCCAGGCTCATGCAAGTGCCTCCGAGGGCTCCCCCACAGCTTCTGCTGTGCCCCCTCTCTCTGGCCTCCTCCTACCTGCCAAGCCAGAACATGTCTGAGGTCCAGAAGATCTGCCTGGCAAGGAGCACTAGAATCCGGGAGTTCCCTGATCCCAGCTTCTTGGGTATTTCTGGGGCAGGTCTGCCCCAGAGGCAGGGAGAAGTACTGGACAGTCTTCTCCTCCCTTCTAAGAGACTCCAGCATTGCTCACTGGCTAGCCTTCTCTAGACCAGCACATTCCCCTTGACCAGTGATCCCGAGCCCTGCTTTTCTGGGGCATACATAAGGGCGGCTGCCCTCCCTATGTGTCAGGCCACAGCCCAAGTCCTGCCTTCCCCAGCAAGAGAAGTACTCCAGGCTGATGTCACTTAGCGGCTCCCCAGTGGCACTTAGTCCCCCACGGGGCTGGCTTCTCTGCAGGTCCAATGATGTGACCCAGTCCTGCAGTTCTGGGAGGTCCACGACTATCCGAGTCAGATGCAATCCACTGAAACCGGCCCCTGGAACGCTGTTACTGCCCAGGTAAAAGGCTATAATCAAGTCTCTCTTCCATGGACTCATTCCACCCCAGGGACCAAAGATTTGCATGTGAAAGAGAAGAGTCTGAGATCCATGAGTGGATTCCTGGGGACAAGTCATGGCTCCAGACTCTCAATCTTCAGATGCCAAGAATGGGGCAAGAGGAAGAGTCAAAGCGACCCTCACATCCCAGACCATTTTGGAGGCAGTGGTGTAGACAGTGGCTGAGAGAGCTGGGGCTGAGACCAGACTTACTCACCTCCCCCACTTGCTAGCTCTTTACACATCTTGCCCTCTCTAGACCTCACTCTCTGTCTACGAAATGAGGAAAATCATAAATTCTCTCAGGACGGTGTTAGGAGGATTAAATAAGACAATGAGACTTAAGAACTTCTCCTGGGGCCTGGCACATCCTTGGCTGTTAGCAGGATTAGTAAAGGTTTAGGGGCTTCATAACTAAAAGAACCAGTTCCGGGTTTAAGAGCTGAGTGTACTAAATGTAGAATTCTGGAACTAATGTGATTACACAGGGTCCCCCCCCACCTCCTTTTCTCCCCATATAATACCAGCTAACTAGCATCCCAAGGGATTCTAGTGTTTGGAGAAGATGATTTACAATACTGCTTCTAATCAGGGGGAGACGAGGAACAAGCTGGGCTATTTTGACCAGCTTTGGTCAATATATATTTTGGAAATACAAAATCATCGCTCTTGTTGTAAACATCACAGTAAAGCACGTGACAGGTATCCACGACCTGCGTCACTTCTGCAGGACGTCCACCACAGGCAGCTGCATCCAAGTGGCTTCTGCAGAATGTCCCATAGGCATGGAAGGACAGATGCCTCTGAGGGGTCAGCTGGGACAGACAGACACTCTCGAGCGCCACTCTCCACTGATGTCAGCAAAATAATCCACAGAGGGTGGGGAGCCCAGGGGGAGATCTGGAGGGCTTTTATCCGCAGGGAATTGGAGATCAAGCCTGTGTGAAGAACCAGTTGGGCAGACCGTGGGGCTCACCATTTGGCCAGGAGAGGCTGGGGCAGCAAGCTGGGAGATGACAGGACCCCGCCCAGACCCTGTCTGCGGTCCGCCCTGCGAATGAACGCTCCGTCTCCCGTCTCCTTTCTGCTCCACCAGCACATGCTCTGAAGGGACCTGCGATGGCTGTAACTTTCACTTCCTATGGGAGAGTGTGGCTGCCTGCCCGCTCTGCTCCTCAGCCGACTATCATGCTATCGTCAGCAGCTGCGTGGCTGGGATCCAGGTAAGTTTCTCTACTTGTGACATCCAGGGGGAGAAGAGTGTGGTGTCTGAGCTTCTGGCTTTCCTCCCCAACAGAAGACTACCTACGTGTGGCGAGAGCCAAAGCAGTGTGTGGGCGGCATCTCCCTGCCCGAGCAAAGGGTCTCCATCTGCAAAACCATAGACTTCTGGCTGAAAGTGGGCATCTCTGCGGGCACCTGCACTGCCATCCTGCTCACCGTCCTGACCTGTTACTTTTGGAAAAAGAATCAAAAGTACATGCTGGGGTATTGGAGTTTGGGGGTGGATGCGGCTGGATCACTGAATGGGGAGCAGAAAATCTGGGAGTATCAATTCATGAAGCTTTTTTCCTGGAATTGACCACAGACACTGGCTCTGGCCAGACACCATTGAGGTCCAGTTTATAGCTTCTGTCGACTCCAGAGAAGTGACGCCATGGGGCAGTCTATGTGTGACTGCTGGAGTCTCAAAAGCTAAGCAAAGAGTAGCCTCCACCTACTCCATTAGTGCTAAACATGACTTTACGATTCGAATCTTCTTGTGAAGCTTTGAGATAATGAAACAGCTGGCCTTAACAAAAGAAAGCTCACTGAACTAGGAGCCAGGATTCCTTAACTGTAAATGCCCAGCCATTCTGCATGCTTCAACTTCCTCTCCCACAGTATGGGAGTATCTGCTTACAGACACTGAAGGCTGTCTGTCCATGGTATTGGTGTCTGTCAACAGTATCTGTTACAAAGTCCCTGTGGCAGGCCAGCCTCGCGCCTCCTCCCCTCTTATTCCTTTTGGTCTCTCCTGCCCCTGCTTCCTAGACTGGAGTACAAGTACTCCAAGCTGGTGATGAACGCGACCCTCAAGGACTGTGACCTGCCAGCAGCCGACAGCTGTGCCATCATGGAAGGCGAGGATGTGGAGGATGACCTCATCTTTACTAGCAAGAAGTCACTCTTTGGGAAGATCAAATCATTTACCTCCAAGGTAGGGAGCCTGGCCAGTGCAGAGAGGTCAGCCTGGAGGGCTGGAGAAGACACAGCCCTGGCACACCGAAGGACCCCTCGCTGTTCAGGGACCACTGTTCTGCTCCCCAGCATCCATGCTGTTCTGTCTCCCCACCCTGAAAATCCTGGCTTCTGCCCTCTACATTTCCAACCGCTGCTCTTTCCCCTGGGCCCAAGGCTGCTCTTGACGAGGCTCCTTCTCTCCCAACATGCATTCCAGTTGATAGACTGGAAGAAGGCATATCGAACCATCCATCTTGTAAGAATCATTCCCTCTTCCCCTTTCTTTTTTTTGGAGGAAGGGGAAGAGGCAAGGTCCAGGATCAACTTGTGACAGAAGTGAGGCTCTCCTCTGGCCAGTGGAGGGTGCTGTCCCCCAGATGTCTGGGTCATGGTCCTTTGGGGACTGAGTCATAGTTAAGTCTAAGTGGTTCTCCACTGAGCAGTTCTGAGCTGGGAGAGTCAGCTCTGTGTGGGTGGGTGAGTGAGTGTGTTTGAAGCTCATAAATGCAATGCAGACAACACTTTCCTGGGCATGAGGCCAGCAGAGAGCATCCCAGCAGCTCTCCCAGGGACACAGCCCTCTGCAGCCCCATGCTGCCAGCACCCATACCCCACTGTTGCCCTGAACCAGTTCACCCAAACAGGAGGTGGCAAAGGGGAGAGGATAGGAGGGATGGGGAGGCAAGGAAGCAGGGACGTGTTCAGGTGGTTTAAGCTCATTCTTCATGCTGACCTGCCTGGATGATGCCCTTGCCCTCCTGAGATTTATTTACACACACACACAAACACACACTGTAGGAGAACAATGCACCCCAGGACCCTTGCATCTCCCTGGAGCTTCTAGAATTTAGCCAACATTCCAAGCAGGGGAGGGTAGTTAAAGACTTTCTTATCCTCTGATTGACTAAAGAGGCCAAGAAAAATAGGGGATAACTTCTGTCTGCATTTCTGTGAAACCGCTGGGAGCAGGGTTCCACAAGGGTTCCTTCTGTCACCTATTTTCCATTTCTCTCCTTTGTTCCCAAAACATATCTCTGTGCAGCAGCCAGCTCCTGTCACCATCTCTCTTTCAGAGGACTCCTGATGGATTTGACTCGGTGCCACTGAAGACATCCTCAGGAGGCCCAGAAATGGACCTGTGAGAGGCACTGCCCTCCCCTGCCTTGCCTCCTTACCTTGGCACCTCACCTTGCAAGCCTGTGGCGATTTGGGTGCCAGCTTCCTGCAACACCCACTGCTGGAAAGCTCTTCATTGTGGCCTTATCCGAAGAAGTTTGAATTTCAGATTTTGTGGGGTTTTTCTTTTATATAAAGTACCCAAACCCTCCTTTCTGCTTGCCTCAAGTCTGCCAAATATACCCACACTTTGTACATTCCTCCCTTGCTTGCATCTTAATTCCCAAAATGGTCCACTCACTGGAACCACAGCCACATGTGCTCATACAGCTCTGCGATGGAACATACTTCTCTCTTCTTAAGCACAGAAACTCCTTCCTCTACTCTCTTCCTTAAGGGCAGAAGCAACCCAGGGGCTTTCCCTCAGAGGCTCATGATCAATTTTGGGGAGCAGCTGAGGGGGGAGAAAGACTCGGTTCCTCCCTGATGCCCCATCTAAATGGTAGCCTGGGTTCATCTCCTGGATAACCAGCACAAACTGAGTGGAAAGGATTGTCTGAGGGCCTGGTGAGTAAGGGCTGGGCAAGAACAGGCTTGACAAGCACAAAGAGAAGCAACAAAGGTTTTTTGTTTCTTAAACTAGGAACTTCATTCCCTTTCCTAAGTGATAAACACCCTCTGTGGAGGCAAAGGGAAAAGTTCACTGAGAAAATGCCAAAAGCCCTGGTGGATCTTCTCCCGCAGCTTCCCATCTGTTCCCTCTGACATTACAGAGACCCAGGTGAGCACCAGACCTGGATGTTCACCCTTATTCTCGACTTGCTTTATGCACAAAGATGACAAGCTTGCAAGGAGAAAGTTCCAGCCTCTAGTGCCCCTTTCTCTACTTCTGCACCAAATACAATCAATGAGCTTCAAGTTACTGGAATGGCAAAGCCCAGGGCCATATCACAAGAAGAGGTCTCTTATTTTGAAAGAGCACAAGGAGACCATGATGTCTGCCCCTCAGTTTAACTTTCCTGCTTGGCCCCAGAATGACAAGTTCTAGGCTAGTCAGTGAAGGAATCGCCTCCCAGGTCCATACCCTAGTGGTGGGGCCAGATCAGCCTCCAAGGAAGAAAGACCTAGAAAATTGAATGAGGCATTCACCAAACTGGACACTTCACACTCTCAGGCCCCTTTCTTTCCCTTTTGCCTGTTCTTATTTACTTTGTGTGCTTAAAACAAAACAAAACCTAAAGACTTCTGGTCCTGATTTCTGGCTACCTCCCCTTGTGAAAGGTGACTGGAAGGAATAGCCACTCTGGCCCTTTTCTCTACTTCTGCACCAAATACAATCAATGAGCTTCAAGTTACTGGAATGGCAAGGCCAGAGCGAGAGTTTACTTTCTCTTCTTTCTACTACTGGCAATGCTCCTTCCCTCAAGCTCAAGCTGGAAGGATCGTCCCTTGGTCAAGGGCCCAGATGTCCATGGTGTATACTAGTTTCTTTTCTTGTGTGGCCACTGGATGACCAGAGTGAAGATGGCATTTCTAAGTGGCTTGTGTGCTATAAAATGATTAGTCATTGCGGCCCTGGCAGCGGCCTCATGGCTCAGAACTAGGTCCTGCCTAGCCAACAGCAGCAGTACTCGACAGGCCGTCCCTTTGGTTCAACAGATCAGGAAACTTTTCTTTGTACATCCAAATCCACCCTCCCTCTTGAGGAGATTGGGCTCTCAGAACCATGCAGCCATGTTGGGGTGTTTCCTATGGGACACAGCTCCAGTCAAAAGCTGCTGTGGCTTCAGGATCACTCTGTGCATCTTCCCTGCCACCATGTAGTTTATGACAAAGGCCACAGAAGTTCCTCGGCCTGTTCTGGAAGGCTGTTCTTTATTCTGACAGCTTGAAATGGGGTGCCTCCAGAGCAACCGCAGACTCCACTGATTTAGTCATAACACCTTTAGGATCTCCCTTTTCCTGCCCCATAGTATACTGACATTGGGGGACTGTGCCATATCCTGCCACACTCCTGAGGTATGCTGTAGGGGGTCATCTGTTGTTCCCCTAGTAACTTGGGCACAGATCAGATGTCTAACAGTTCTGTCACAATATAACTCAGACCATCCAATTTGCTCGTTTTAAACATACAACTCCATGGACTTCAGTATATTCAGAAGTGTGCATCTATCATCACAGTCTTAGAACAGACACATGGTAGCTTTTATATGGGAAAAAAGCCTTTCATCCTTGAACTACCATTATAGTGTTTTTGTACAAGCTATTGGGGGAGGGAATGTGGACCTAGGAGATAAAATGTTTAAACCCTACAGGGCGACCTAGAGGCCAGGAAAAACAAGTGACATTCCTTATGGGCATTTACCTGTATTTGAGAATACAAATGGAGACTGGGGTATATTCAAGGACCAGAGATTTCTTAAGCCAACAAGACCTCTGTCTTTCTTTCTTTTTTCCTTTCTTTCTTTTTCTTGCTTTCTTTTTCTTTTCTTTTCTGGTCTGTCTTTACCTTAAAGATAAGACTGACTACTATATTTATACAACAGAGACTTTGTATTGGATTTTCCAGCTTTCTGTCTCCTCAAGACTGGTTGGATTCCTTTTTACTGTGTATTCCAAGAGTTTGTAGCTTGTTCAGGGATGGGCATTGCATGTCACATTCTGTATGTGTGTGTGAAATAAAAACATACCTTTCAAGTTGTTTTCCTTGAATGGGGTTCAGTGGGTACGTGAGAAATACTGTATCCTTGAGGCTTAAACTGAGGAGAAGGAAGATTCTGAATCTGCAGAGTGATAGAGAAAAGAATACTTTGAACAACACAGGCCTAGGCTGGAAGCCTCTGACCGTCTACTATAGAACCAGCCAACAGCCAAAGCCTCAGTTTCCAAAATAAGAAAACACATCCGTCGTTACCTTGTCCCCCAAGATGGAGTGAGGATCCAAAGAGGCAATACATAGAACACCTAGCATGCTAGTTTCCTTCTGTTACCAGGCAGGGTGAGGGGCAGCCCAGGACCCCCAAATTGCCTGCTCTAAATAGAGCCATCTGTTGCAAAAAGATGAAACATACTCTAGTGCATAAGACCTTTAATGTAAAGGACTTTTAGTACAATTTAGTGTGCAATAAAGAGAAGGGAAAGAGCATATAGTTTTTAAATCAAGCACCCAAAGTTACCCATCCCCTCATGGGTAAATAGCCAGCCAGCTACGGTTGGCCTGAAGTATGGTCACTGCCACAAGTCCAGTGGGGATCCCCTGGAAAGGGGAAGAAGGGGCCAAGCCAGTCTGGAAGCAAAGGAGCAAAGTCAAAACCAAAAGAAAGGCTGTTAACTGTTAACCTCCCACAGGAGGGCCCAAGTCCAGGACCAAGAAGCCAGAGCAGCTTCTTCACATGCCTCTCTGCTCAACGTGCCTCCTCCATCTATCCTTCCTCCAGGCCCCTTTCCAGCTTCTCCGCCCCGCTCAGCGACACCCTTCCTCACGTGGAGCAGGGAACCGAGACCCTTCCCTTTCTCTGGGGACCACCTGTTATACTTCCAATTCAATCTCTCTCCAGCTGCTGCTAGGCCACCCACAAACCAATGCATGCACAAAGACAAGAAAACCCAGGGTCTCTGGCTGTGAAACAAACTACTACAAACTAGATGCAGATAATCCTAGTGGCATTAAGGACCAACCATTTTCCAGGGTTGCTGGATTTCCCTCCAGTGTTTTCTTCACTCTTGTCAAGGACAGTTGATCCCCTAAAATGAACTGCTACAGCTAGTTGGCTGTGACCCACATCTGCTTTGATGGGGTGGTTCCTGGGTTTAAGAAGTGTTGCCCCACCTGAATGGGTAAAGTCCAAACTTTTAAGAAAGTAGAAACAGAAACTCCAAAGAATCTGTCCTCAAAACTAAATGTCGATTTTAAATCGCGCTCACAGCATTTCCCTTAAATGGGTAGTACGATCCCATCATCACAGGTGAGGAAGCTGCACCTTCAATGGAATTAGCACCGCTGAATTAGCACTGCTAACAGTGCCCCCGCCCTGCTCCCCATATTGTGACTGTCCCCCAGTGATAAGCACCTCCTGCCTTCCTGCCTTGGCATCTGATTCTGCACCTATCCCTCCCCCCACTTTTCACTAGACAAATCAACCTTCCAAGCCACCCCACTGTGAAACCGTCCCTGGATCACCAATGGGGATACAACATGAAGAAACAATTACTTGGGGACATCACAGTTAATTTACAGGAACCCGCCCAGACATTGTGCAGTGTCCCCGGACAGCAGACACACAACCGACATGACTGAGCTTGAAGCAAGGGGAGAAAATGTGTGAATGATTTTCAGGGTTTCCCAGCCACTGACAATGGAGTGAAACACACTGACAGGTAACTAGGCAAGAAGATCCTAACTCCGTGCAAGCCTTAAAAAAGACAGGTGAGAAGGCCCTCCCTGGTGCGCAGCGGGTTAAAGCACTGCACTACGAAGCTTAAGCCACTTCCTCATGAACTTGATTCCCGCCTGCCCTGGAGGAGTCCATATGGCGAGGCAGACCTCTCCTGACCCGCCCGCTGCTCCCCTCAGCAGTGTACTTCGTCGATCTGCCTGTTCTGCGCCCCATTCTGTCTCTGGTGAATCCTCTCACCCTCCGCATCTCTGGCCTGTACCCCAATTCTATATGAATAAATAAATAAATCTTTAAAAAAAAAAAAAAAGACAGGTGAGAACCCTTGGCCCCTCCCTGGTGGTGCAGCGGGTTAAAGCACAGCACAAAGAAGCTTAAGCCACTTCCGCATGAGTTCGATCCCCTCTTGCCCTGGATGTGACCCACATGGCAGCAGACCTCTCCTGGCCCGCCCACTGCTCCCCTCAGCAGTGTACTTCGTCGATCTGCCTGTTCTGTACCCCACTCTGTCTCTGGTGAATCCTCTCACCCTCCACATCTCTGGCCTGTACCCCAGTTCTGTACTTTTTTTAGACTTTAAAAAAAGACAGGTGAGAACCCAAGAGCAACGATGACCTCACTGCAGAGAGAACGGATGCAGGGCTGTGTACAAAGAAATTTAGAGTTCATAAGTGCTGAAATGGAACAATCCCACACAAAATGCAGCTGCTTCCAGGGTCCAGTGTGGAAGAGGTGACTCCTAACAGAGGCCAGATCAAAGTCCCCACTGCCAGCCTATCCTGGAGGTTTGCCCTGACCCAAGCTCTTTTTAAATGGTTTTTCCTTGGTTGCCCAAGGGCATCAAGGTCAACCTCCTTTGTTCCTGTGTCTCTGACTGAGCCGGCATCCTGGAGCTGCCCATTGGATTGTCAGTTCCTCCTGAGACCATATGATAAATGCTACTGTACTGTGGGAACCTAGGAGGATGCCAGACTAAGCTGGGAGAGTGGGGAAGAAGGTGCCAGCGGAGGTGTCTAGGGAAAGGAATTGCAAGTAGAGAAAGTTTGTACAAGGCTCAGAGGCAAGAAAGGCAAGCCACAAGTATTCTGTCTGGGGAATGTGATGGGGAGATGTCAAGAGATACAGGGAGCATGGGAGAGAAGTTGGTAGGAGTAAATCAAGGCCTTTGCAAGATGTGTCTGAACATTCTTCTGAAGGCAACAGGTAATCATGGAGGGCTTCTCGCAGGAGAGTCAGAGGATGGAGTTTGCTGACTGACAAGTTCTATTCCAAATCCAAGGCAACAGAGGAATGCAGTGAGCCCAAGAGACCCCTCCCATGTCAGCCAGTGCTGACTTAGTAAAGACTGAGCAGGACATCTATGGCTGGCTGCACCCTTCTTTTCTTGCTTCCCCCTTGTGTAACAGGGTAATCCAGAGGGAAAGGGGAGGTTCCCTGCCTCACCCTAAGAAAGGGTGGAGTTGAGTAGCAAGGAGAAGCTAATAAGACTGGGAGAGGGAGAAAGGCGACCAAGGGGACCTGGAGGAGGCACCTGGAGCAGGCACCTGGAGCAGAGAGATGTGAAGAAGCTGCAGCGCTTGCCACCGGGCTGAGGACTAGTACCAGGGGGACGTGGAAGAGACACTTGAAACAGATATGGGTGAGAGGCCCGTGGGGAGGTTAACAGGGGCAGCTTTCATCTTGATTTCAATTTTGCTGTTCTCCTTCCAGACTTGCTGGGCCCCTTCCGCCCTGTCCCTATGGGTCCCTCCCAGAAGATACCTTAGACTTGTGGCAGGATTTTGGGCCTCAGTTGCCCTGCTTTGGGTAACTAAGGGTGCTTTATTTGAAACTATATTCTTTCTTTCTTAAAGATTTATTTATTTGAAGAATAAATCTTTCTTAAAGATTTATTTTTTTATGCATACAGAACTGGGGTACAGGCCACAGGTGCAGGGGTGGTGAGAGGATTCACCAGAGACAGGGTGGAGCAGAACAGGCAGACTGATGAAAGGCACTGTTGAGGGGAGCAGTGAGTGAGACAGGAGAGGCCTGCTGCACCATATGCGTCACCTCCCTGACCAGAAATCCAACTAGCTCCCAAGCAGCTGCAGCCAGCCCACAGTGCTGCACTTTAACCCCTTGCGTCATCAGGGAGAGCCCTGAAACTATATTCTCTCTCTTTTCTTCTCTATTGCACACTAATTGTATTAAAGTTATTTTCTATTGTAGGACTTATGCACTAGAGTATGTTTTGTCTTGATGCGGCGGATGGCAGAACCCATTTAGAGTGTGCAGATTTGGGGTTCCCGGAGACTCCTTCACCCTGACCAGTAACACTTGCAGGTACTCATTCCACCTAGGCTCCCACTAGCTCCCCAGGGCCCCCAAGGTAATTTCTCACTATAACTGCTCTCTGCACCTGCAGCAAGCTTCTAATCCCTCAGTCAATTCCTACAACTCATTCACACAGTGGTGTTGTGCATAGTAAGTACTGCCAAGGCGCTTCCCAGGCACTGTACTAGGTCCTGTGAAGTAAAGATGCCAATACCCTATGGTCTCTGCCTGTGATAAGAAAGACACATTTTCTAACCAAGTTCCTAAGAAGCCCTGTTCTGTGGAAGGGATGTTAACAACGGGACAAACCCAAACATAAGACTATCTTAGACACTGAGCAGTAATCAGGTTTTAGTTCCATGGCTTAAATGCTCTGGGCCTTAGTATCACATAGAAGATAAGAAGATAAGTATAGTTATATTTCCAACTGAGGTTCCTTGAACCCCTTAGTCCTCAGATGCAGCACCCAAGACCAGCCTTGGTTTTTAAGACTAACAGAAATTACATATCCAAAAGATGTATGAAGTATGATGTTGCTTTGTTTTTGCATTAGCTTCTGGCAAAGATTTAAATTTAGAGTAATCACACTGTTCATTTCCTGCTGATGGGAAATTCTAGCTGGCAGCCTTACATATCTGATTAGTAAGATGGGAACATGAGTTATTTTTTTAATTATGTTTGTTAGATGAGATTACTTCAAGTCTTGGGGGACAGGGTGATGAAAAGATTAAGAATTATTAGACTAGCAGATAGTTAAGATTCACCTCCAGCGCTAAAAATCCTCTAAGCTGATGAGTGAAGTATGCTTTTATGTTCATTCATTATACTTATCATTAACACACTATCAAATAACATAATGGTGGAAATTTGGAGAGACCAGAATGTCAAGATCATCCTTCCAAACACACTGTGACCTTAAAGGACAGGCCCAGTGGCCCTCTGCTCCTAGCCCTGGGCCCCTGTGGGGTCTCCAGCTTTTGAAACTTGGCACACAGGACACTATGGCAGTGTCTTCAACGACATGGAAGCAGTCAGCACCCCATCACAGACTTTGCTCTCTAAAGATTCCAGGGTACCCAAGGTTTTGAAGACAATCTTCTTCCATGCTTTCTTCAGAAACTAGTTCCCTGCACGCCCTTTCCAAAGCTGCTTTCAAATCTAACATTGCAGACAAGATGAACCTGGAGGAGCAAAAGCGGACAGCCCTGTTTCCTAAGTCTCCCTCTAGATTCTATTTGTCAGCTTCCCCATCCTTGAGCCCCACCTGCCCTACACCTCAGTCTTGGCTTGGCAGAGGTTTGTTGGGGAGTAGACAAAGCAAAGTCATATTCCCATCACAGATGCCCATGTGAGTGGCGCAGGACCAAGTGGGTCTCAGCACAGCTACCTTTGGGGGCACTGAGGTTCTAAAGTCTAGTAAATGGAAAGGCGAGGGGGGTGGTGCAAAAGACCTGTTCCCAAATCCTCTAAATAATGTCTTATCATCAGGAAGAGTCCTTGATCGCTTTGGCTGCACTCTGCAACCAGAATATTTCACCAGAAAGGCCTGAACATTACAAACTGAAATGATAAAATCTTTGTTCAGGTTTTCAAATCACCCTAAGACATGACCTCAGTACCCTGTGCTGCCTTCAGGGTACTAAATATTGTTCCCCTTGGGAAATTCTCCTTATGTCAAATGAATTCAGCCCCACTTTTCCAGCCTGTGATCTTCCGGGTTGGTTAAGGGGCGATGGAGCTTACTCAATAACCAGGTTAAGAAAGCTGCAAACTCCGGAGCTGGGAGGGGAGCGGGTTATCCTGAGTTGAGGTATCCTGAGTTGAGGTAACTTAGGAACTAAAAAAGGTGCACATATTCTTGTCTTAAGGAGAAGACAGAGGTCCAGGGCGAGGGTCCCGTCTCCATGGACATCTATGGGGGGGGGTGTGTGGTGTGCTCCCGTTTCCAAACGGGGATGATATTGGGGGGGGGGGCTCTGCCCACCACGAGATATGTCCATTAGCATTAGAAAAAAACTGAGGCACTCACTTGTGGGCAACCAGAGGCTCCACAGAGGCGGGCAAGGTTGAGGAGAAAGAACAAGCCGCGGGCCAAGCTACCCGGGCGCGACCAGGCGCGCAGGCAGCGCCAGAGCCCCACAACGCAGCCGCTTCCCTCAGGAGCCCCGCTTGCGACCCAGCCGCTCCCGGCCGAGAGGGGGCGCCGCGCTCCCGCCGCGCCTGCGCAGGGGAGGGCGGGTCAGCGCGCAGGCGCAGTGCGTCGGTCGCCGGCTACTGCGGTGCGTCCCCACTTCCCTTAGCGCTGGCCCGGGAGAAGGAAAGATGGTGCTGGATCTGGATTTGTTCCGGGTGGATAAAGGCGGGGACCCGGCTCTCATCCGAGAGACGCAGGAGAAACGTTTCAAGGACCCGGGGCTCGTGGATCAGCTGGTGAAGGCAGACGGCGAGTGGCGACGATGTAAGTATGGGTATCCCGGATTCCAACCCCAACTTCATCTGGGCTCTCGCTGCCTCTGCTGAGGCCACACGTCCACTCCCTCGTCAGACCCCGGGTTGCGGTGGCTCCGAGACTTTCCCCGTCCCCCCTAAGCATCCGTGAAGCTGGACCGCCCCACTTTAACCTCCACCCGGCGGTGAGAGCGCCCTTCCACGCGTGCTCCGCGCTTCTCCGGCTGGGAAGCAGCTTGGCGCATGCGCGTCGGGAGCTGTCAAGCTTTCCCGGCTCAAGGGTAACCAGAAGAGAGCCCCGCGGGAGGATTGGGGGGCTTGTCCTTCTCCTAAAAGCTCTACCCGTCCTTTTCTCATCCTCAGTAGAGTGAAAGTGGTCCCCCTCTTTTGATTAGATCAAAGGTGCCAGCTTGAGATGGAGTCTCATCAGCAGCGTACATAGGTTTCACCCCACCCTTGTTGATAGAATTTGGGGACTTTGGAAGCCTCTCCTGGCTAAATGCAGCAAACGCAGAGCTCTCGGGAAGGCCATCTCCCTGAAAGGCCATCTCCCTGATCTGTGGGCACACCTTTAAGAATCAAGAAAAGTCTTTCGTGGTAGATCAGATTTCAGGTAGCGAGGGTGACCGTGAGGCAAGAAAAGGCTTGTAGTTATTGAGGCTGTTTGTGATTTGTGGAAGTTTTCCGGAAAAGGCATTGTAGAGTTGGGCTAGAACTTGGAGCTAATCCGAGCATCTTTCATGAAGTCAAATTAAACGTAGCACCCTTTTCCTGTCAACTTCTGCTTAGATTAACTGGAATAGTCCCGTGATTGGCCGGATGCTGTCAAGCACATGTGATTAGTTTTGTCTGATGCAATAGTTCTGCAACCAGCTGAGAGCCAGGATTGACAGCACACTGCCAGAGCAGTCACCACCCAAAAAAGTGTGGTGGGTTTCTACTAGGAAAATTGATTTCTCCGAATTTATAAGGTTATTGAGTACCAGGAGAGTATTTGTTTAACTGAGACTGTCTGTTGATTTTTGTGCATCTCAATTGCTCTAATGTAGTAGTTTGTGATAACCCACAAACTACTTGAACTTGAAGTTTTGAGTTTAGTGCAATTAACATATATAAAGGAAAAAAACTAGATTGGACACTGTTAACACATCTATTAATTTGATTGTTTTTCATCTGACATCCCTTACCAGTGTTCCCTGTCACTAAAGGGAGTTACTGATATTTCTTGAGAGATTGGCTGACAGATCTTGTATCAGGATTGTTCTACATCCAAGCCTCACATCAGAGACTTGGGCTCTTCTGTAAGGATTAACAACCTAGGGCCATATTGAGAACTCCGTCTTGTTCCCCAACTGAGGGTGCAGGAGCCTCACAGGATTTCTATTACAACTACAGAGTCCTCTCACTTCCCATTGCCAAGAGGTTCTTGCAAACTGCTACTTTTAGAAAAACAACATATAATGAAACCAGTTGATATAAGCCAGAGTTAAGTTCTTGTGGCATTTTTCTGATCAAAAAAAAAAATCACCTAAGACCCAAAACATTTCTAATATTAAACAGTAGCTTAGTGTGTATTCATTCATTTCCCAACTCCCTTATCCAGATCAGGATCTTAGTAGCTGGAGCCTAACTATCCATAGCAGGGTGCACACCCTGCCCCTCCCCCCAACACACACCACATTAGTGGACCTAACGTGCACATCTTTGGGATGTGGTAGATAAGTGGGAATCGGGGAAGTGGGAAGCTCTGGACACCCCAGCTGGGAATCAGATTATCAGCCTTTTAAGGAAATTACTTTGAACAAAAGTGTTATTCTGGGGCTCAGTGTCTGCCTGTAGACTTTCAGAGTGCCAGAAGGACCACCGGACTCCCGTAACACTTGAATGAAGAGCACCATGTCAGAGTTCCATACAGCTCTACCAACACCAAGGACTTCAGCTGTGATTTCTTCTTTTTAATTCAGAGTAATATAATGAGGGCACATTTAGGCATATGATAAACACTTGACTACTTCCTTCCAAAGTTCAAGCCACTAGATAGATGTCCACTAGGTAACCATGTATCTTGAAATCAGTTGTAACCTGTTTAGAAAATCTTTTCCTACCCCAAGGTCCGAAGAGATTCTCTGATTTTTTTTTCCAGAGGTTTTATTACTCTGCCTTTCACATTTAGGGAGATAATTTATCTCACATTGGTTGGATATATTACATGAGATAGGGCACAAAGTTCACTTTATTTTTTTCATGTGGAAATCCACTTGCTTATGGAAGAGAATCTGAAACTAGGCATTTATCAAAAACTTCTTAGCTAGCATTATTCTTAACAACGAAATGTTAAATGTTTTCTTCTTAAGATTGGGAGCAAGACAGGATATCTCTTCTATTACTACTTCTAATCCACTGTCACCAAACAGTTGGATGTAAGGCAAGAAAAAGAAATATGTGATTGGAACAAAAGTAAGGCTGTCATCATTTGCAGTTGGCTTGATAGTGAACTATTAAATTTAGCAAGATCACTTTATACCATAATATAGATTCAGTGATATTTCTTTATACAAACAATTTAAAAGCATCTGATTCCTAAAAATGTCGTTAATCTATGACATTCAAAATCCCTATACTGAAAACTACATTGCTGAGAAAAATTAAAGATGATGAAGGGATATACTATATTCATTGATTGAAACATTCAACATCATTACAATATTTTTTAGTTGTCTTCTTTTATTTCGAGGACCTAGCTTGGTGATTACTTTTATATC